AGGTACCATTGGCGGCCCCCCCTCCGCTTCGCCTCCTCGTTCCCGCGCCGCTGCCGCTGCCGCCCCCCGCGCCTCAAAGAGGAGGTGGACGCGGCCGGCGCTCTCGCTCGCTCGCTCGCACTCACCTCACCCTCCACTGTGGCCATGGCCGGAGCAGCCCCGGANAATTCTCACCAGATCTATTTATTTATTCCATTTATTCTATTTGTACCCGGCCTATCTGGTCAATACGACCACTCTAGGGCGGCTAGACTGGATGTCTCATTAATGGTTTATTTCTAGCAAATACAGATCAAAGAAAACGAACAAATTTGACCAATCTTTTGGGACACTGCTGATGAGCCACCTATTTCATAAAACAGTTGCTATACGAATAATTAATATCACCCTAGAAATGCTTGAAGAGAAGAAATAAAATAAAGATTTCTTTACTGATAATTAAATTCAGGGGAAAAAAACCCATTGCCAGTGTTCATATCGCTCTGAAGCTGGACTGACAACCCCAAACCAAGAATTCATCAAGACAGAGCTGGAGCAATTTCAATTGTATTTATCCGGAGAACAGTTTGTGGGTGAATGACAATTCTCTTCCTCTGCAAACAACGCTTTGGACGGAACCTCATTGTTAATTAACTAATAATTAAATCTATTAATCGGGACATAAGGACATCGCTTTTCCATTCTCCCCCCACTTGCCTCCAGTCAGAGGAACAGAGTTATTTCACCAACTTTTCTTCCTTCAGGCTGGTGATCTTTCTCTTCCGGAGGCGCACGGCAAAAATAAATGTGGGGCATCATGCTTGCCAAGCGATGGGAGTTTCCTGGATGTTTGTTCATCTGTTGCAACTAAAAAACTAAAAACTTGGAGACCTGTGATACCTGGAAGACTGAAGAGTGGGTGGAGCGAGCAGATCCAACGAAGTTGAGTGTGTGGGGCCATAAGGAGTGACTCCCACTGGAGCAGACCCATGGACTCAATGGCCCCGATCCATTTGGTCTTTTCGGCAGAGGAGACCCACTGAATCCACGGGGCGTTTTATATAGGCGTGGAGTTGCCATTTGGTCTACTCTAGTTGTGGCTACCATCAACAGAGATGTTGTTTCAACATATCTACACGTTGCCTGAAATCCAGGAGTAAGTCCTCACCGGAGCAGGCCCATGGAATCAGTGGAACGTACAGAGGAGGTGACTCACCAATCCCCATTGATTCAATGGGCCTACTCTAGTGCAATTTACTAGGCTGAGCAACAGAATTTCAGCCAACGTCTTAAACTCCAGGAGAGATGAGATTTAGTTACATTTTTTTCCTCCCATCTGTCTTCTGACAGCAACAGACACGCTGCGTATCTCCCTTTCCCCAACAGGGTTATTGTGAGGGAGCTCAGTCCCACCTACTTCACAACAGCCCTGTGAGGTAGGTCAGACTGACAGCAGGGACTGGTTGAAGTCAGTTTTAATAGACAACTGCTTCAAAAAAAGGGGGGGGAGCATCCTTGGACAGCTCTCCAGGCAGAAGATACTTCCCAGCAGAGGACCGTTATTTCCGAAACGAGACGCATGCTCTGTTAGTCCTCTTCCCCCATACTGCACCCCATGAAAAGCTGAAAGGCAGTTGAAGAGGGTCCTTGTTCATAAGCAAAAACGAATGGACAGTTTAGGTAGAGAGGGGTGGATCTCCTTTTAAAAAAAGCTCAGGATCCCTTAGCCAGGATGGCTTCAGGTCATGGGCGAGCAAGAAAAGCAGTCAACAGAAGCCCAGCTGGACAGGACTGCCACCCGTGACCTCTTATAGCTTTACAGAGCCATGAACAATGACAATGGTTCCTTCTGCAATCAATCAATGTAGGCAACTTTTGGTCCCTGAGATGTTGTCGGACTCCATCTCCCATCAGCCTCGGCCAGCATTACCACGGGGTGAGGCATGCTGGGAGTTGGAATCCAGCAAGATCTGGAACCCCACGTTTTCCCCACCTGTTCTACACTTTGCCTGCTTTGAATACCTCTAACGAGGTACATCCAGTGCCAGATTAACATTCAAGCTAAGGAAACTGCATCGTTGTTATTGTTACCCTGTTTCCCCCAAAACAAGACCTAACCTGAAAAATAAGCCCTAATAGGATTTTTCAGGAGGCTCGTTATAGAAGCCCTACCCCCAAAATAAGCCCCAGTTAAGTGAAACCCCACTCTCCGCCATGTTGCAGCAACCAGAAGAGGATGACAGGACTGTAAAATAAAACATCCCCTGAAAATAAGCCCTAATATGCTTTTTTGGAGCCAAAATTAATATAAGACCCTGTCATTTTGGGGAAAAACACGGTAGTGATTATAATGAGGACTGCAAGGCAGGTGAGATATTTACGGAGTGGTTTCACCAATTCCACAGCTGGAGCAAGTTTCCCTGACTTGGCCAGGGATTTGAACCCAGGCCTCCTGAGTCTCAGCCAATCCCTCAGTCCACTGCACCACGCGTAGGAACACAAGCTTCATCTTCAGCTCTCCAAGCACCGCTCAGCCGGTGGAATACGAAAGGAAGCTCCATTTCAAGTTCTGTAGCATTGCTGGCGATCACGAGGCATGTTTCCCCGCGTAGCTTCTTGGACGCGGCCGAGAGGCAGCCTGGAGTCTTTCCGTGTTTTTCCTCCGGTTCTGGAGAGGCCGGGATTCCAGGAGCGGAGGTGGGGACCACCAACCAGCCTTGGGGACCTTTGGAGAAACAGGAAAGCCAGAGGCAAGGAAGGCCTTGAAGGCTTCCCACCATCAGAATTAGGCCACCACCCGGCCCAACCTTTTGCAGACGATGGAGAGCAAGGTTCTGCTGCCACCTCGTGGCCACTGGGACTCCTAGCCCGGCCCGGAGCGGCTACCAAAATAAAAGTCTCACCCACAGTGGATCTCAGAGAAGAGGGAATGTGCCCGGGTTCCGCCATGAGGATAGCCGTATAAATCTTGTTCTGACTTTCCGGGTTTCCCAAGGAGGGGAACCCGTCAAGAGGGAGCTTGGCCTTCCCTCCTCCTTTCCGCTTCGCTTTCTCCCACGTTGGGATCCTCCTTATAGCCATGGGTCTCAAGGATGCCCTCAAAGCAGAGAAGTTAAGGGTACAGAATGGGACCTTGAACTACAGGACCATGTTGGCGAGTTAGGGAAAATATAACTTTCTTAAGAAATCTGCTTTTATCACCCCCTCGTATTTAGCCAGCACTGTGGCAGAAAGTGAGAAGGAACTAAAGAACCTTGTAATGAGGGTGAAAGAGGAGAGCTCAAACAATGGTCTGAAACTCAACATAAAAAAAAACTAAGATCATGGCCACTGGTCCCTTCCCCGCCTGGGAAATAGAAGGGGAAGATATGGAGGCAGTGACAGATATTACTTTCTTGGGCTCCATGATCACTGCAGATGGTGACAGCAGTCACAAAATTAAAAGACGCCTCTTTCTTGGAAGGAAAGCAATGACAAACCTAGACTGCATCCTAAAGAGCAGAGACATCACCTTGCCAACAAAAGTCCGCATAGTCAAAGCTATGGTTTTCCCTGTAGTGATGTACGGAAGTGAGAGCTGGACCATAAAGAAAACTGACCAATGAAGAATTGATGCTTTTGAATTGTGGTGCTGGAGGAGGCTCTTGAGAGTCCCCTGGACTGCAAGGAGAACAAAGCTATCCATTCTGGAGGAAATCAACCCTGAGTGCTCACTGGAAGGGCAGATCCTGAAGCTGAGGCTCCAATACTTTGGCCATCTCATGAGAAGAGAAGACTCCCTGGAAAAGACCCTGATGTTGGGAAAGTGTGAAGGCAAGAGGAGAAGGGGACGACAGAGGACGAGATGGCTAGACAGGGTCATCGAAGCGACGCCGTGGAGAACAGGAGGGCCTGGCGTGCTCTCGTCCATGGGGTCACAAAGAGTCGGACATGACGAAACGACTAAACAACAACGTCATCTAAATCCATAAAGGGCTTTTACACTAGCTAGGCTCAATGCATTTTCTTCTTATTTTCTGGAGGGAAGATTTCGAAGTTTGCCTACATCAGATTGTCTCTGCCCTTCAACTAAACAACAACATGTCATCTAAACCCATAAAGGGCTTTTACACTAGCTAGTCTCAATGCATTTCCTTCTAAGCTTCTGGAGGGAAGATTTCGAGGTTTGCCTACATCAGATTGTCTCTGCCCTTGTAATAAAGTTGAATCAGTTGGGCATGTTCTCCTTTTCTGTACGTGCTATACGGATCTTCGTATGCAGCTTTTATCATCTATTATATGTAAACCTCCCGGGACATCAAAGGAGGATTATGTCCAGTTGCTACTCTCTGACAATACCCCTTATATTACGGGACAAGTGGCCAAATTCTGTGCTGCAGCAATGGTTAATCGTAATCAAATGTTTCGATAGGTAATTTTAGAGGGATAATATGATGTTTTTAATATAACACTCGCTGAGGTTTTATTTATATTAAGGATATATGATGTTATTGACTGGAAAGAAGGGGTTTTATCATGTTTTAATGGAATTTTATTACCCTGTCTGATTCTATGAAACTATAATTATATGTATCTATTTTATATTGATTTGGTTCCAGTGGTCTTTGACCGTAATAAAGTATTCATTCACTCATTCATGTTGGGATCCTCTGCAGGCGCTGCTCAATTCAGACAAAGAGAGCCGTCTCCTGGAGACTGGTCTTTTGACCCAGGAGTGGGACGGACACCCACAGGAAGGCCACGCTTTATTTCCGCAATCCGCCTATTCTTTCACGAAAGGACCGGAAGGGTTCGGAAGGGCTGTCTGGTCCACCCTCTGCCGAGGCGAGAAACCGCCCGGGGAGGAGGGGGGCCATCCTGCCTGCTTCCAAAGGTGGCCGGTTCAGGAGAGGTCTTGTCACTTTCCCTGGCTTGTCCTTCGCCTCTTCTCGGTCTTGGGCGCGCAGGAAAACAGCTTCCCCTTTCTACTTGTCGCTTTTCGATTCCCCACAGGAGAAGACCTCGTGTGACCCGCACCTCAAGAGGAACACAGAAGAGGCGAAGGATTTGCAGGAAATGGCACATACATAGGCTCAATGATACGCACAGATGCAAAAAAACAAGATCTGATGTTGGCCATTATTAAAAGGGAAGGGCGAGCCCTTGGCCCTCCCAGCTCCATCGGCTGGGCCGTCTTCGAAGGGAGGGGAGAATGGCCTTTCCTTTGGGGCCAGGTGTAGAATCTGGTTGGGATCCCCAAAATCCTGAGTGGAGAGAAAAAAGGGGAATCGACGGCGTTGTGCCTCCACAGGGGATAAGGCTCCCTTTGAATGCCAGCCAGCATCCAGGAACCCCCCCCCCAAAAAGGAAAACTCTGCAGCTTGTATTACACCTCCTGCGCCCCCTCCCCAGGCACCTCAAGCTGGCTTCCCTTCACTCTCTTCCTGGAGTCCAGCCAGATCCAGAACAATACGGAGCCGCCACGAGACAGTTCTCCGTGATGCAATAACTGTACTTCCAATTACCTGAACTTGCCACTCAGCCCCTGGGGTGAAGCTCGCCTGCAGAGGTCCTGTCTCACCTGTATTTTCGTCCTGCTGGACTGAAGTTTAAATTTCAAGCAGGATGAAAATACAGGGCAGGATCTCTGCAGGTGAACTTTACCCCTGGGGCCGAGTCTGCTGTCCAGGTGCAGTCTACCTGTGGGCTGGCAAGCTCAAGTTTCTTCAAATACTGCATTGTGGAGGGCTGTGTCCTATATTTGGTACTTGGCTTTATTTTCCTTGAATTGATTTGTTTTTAATTTTATTTTGTGAATTATTTGTGACTCACATCAAAATCTGCTCAGGCAAGTTCTCCATCGGTGTACGCGGAAGAGACGCCCGCCAGACGCACTCGGATTTTCTCATAATAATTTATTAAATACATTAAAATTTCAGTTTGGAAATCTCACTGTTGAAACAAAGTTGATCAAAAATAAAAAGACACCAAGACGAGAGAGAGCCCAGCAACCTGTAAAATCAGTCCGTCGTCATAATGTGCCCAGATCCATATTGTTACAGGGGTTGAAGGCATGGATGGTGGGGGGGGAGAGAAGATGCATTCTACAATCCCACAGAAGCTGTGGGTGGCGCTCAGGAAGATGAGAGAGCAGCAAGCTGGGGCCATTTACAGGTGCCATTTTTTACAGGGTAGGGGGAAAGAGTGTGTGAGTGTCAGGGGAACGCCTGCGCTTCACATTTCAGACTTGAAAAAGAAAAAAGGCGGCTGGATGTGACCCTCAAAGTATGACCCTCGGAGAGGACCTCTGACAGCGCAAAGCCCAGGGACAACGGTTCACGTCAGCTCACCTGGGAAGGGGCTGAGCTGGGGTAGAAGGAGGAGGGGAACCAAGGAGAGGCCGACCCACCTTCCTCAGTCGGGAACACGCAGCAGATCGGGCAATTTCTTGGGTCTGATAAGCTGCCTCCAACCCCACCTACCTCCCCCCCCAAAAAAAAATCGCTTGCAACTTTAAGGATTCCGTTCCTTATTTTACAAAAAGAGGAGCTATCTATTTTACAAAATCTCTCTTCTTCTTCTCTCTCTCTCTCTTTAAAAGTTGTTTCTCTTTTAAAACTGGGGTGGGGGGGCTTCTCAAGGCCACGGAGGTAGAAATCAGACAAGATTGTCTGTCGAGATTCCAGGCTGTCTGAAGCCATGGATTTCTGAGAGGGGGGGGAAGCGGGGCGGGGGTTGGGGGGCCGAAGGAGTGAGTTCCCGCG